CTGAAAGGTTATGTAATACACTCGACCGTAGGGAGAGGAGAGGATCGGAGCACAGAGGCCTGATTTCCTTAGTGAAAACCATTGTATTTTTCTGTTTTTTCTCCCTCTCTTGCGCCTGTCAATGAAGAATTTGTTTTCAAAAAATTATGGAAGCCGTAATTTTTTCATTTCGTGTTTATCGATGAAGATAATTTTTTTAAATTCAAATATAATATCTTTTCATATTCAGCATATATTTAGATGATTCTAACGAAATAATTTAGGTATATTGGGGGAATTGGGGGGATTGAGGACCAATGACATGATATGAATTCTAAATAAATACTGAATTTGGGAGACCGGATGATTCTAAATATATACTAAATTTCCGTTGGGAGCATAATGACCGGATATCTTGCGGGAATTGCGGGATTGAGGGTTGTAACTGCTTTTAAGTTTATATGCAGTAAAAAAAATTTTATTTAGGTAGATTTATAATTATTTTATTATCAATGGTAATATTATAATATTTCATATTTCATGCTGAAAACATAAAAATTTCACTTTTGTAATCGGTTATAACACACCTTGAATAACTTTTTAATCTACTTTTTTTCTTTTTCAAATGGATGATTGAAAATTAATTTTATTACACAAAATTTCATGTATGAGTCTGATTAATCATGAGGAATTTGCACCCCATACTACCAAATATAATTTATATTACATCTTTACACCTTATTATTATTTATTTACAAAGATAAAAAATTAGCCCATCATATTTACACATATACCAGATTTTGTATGTTTATTAATTATGACTTAATTATGGGAAGTGAATAAGTTATAGTAGATAAAACGGCTCTATTTATTGACCCACTTTGTTTCACAATGTTGTTATTGTACGACTTCTTTATATTAGTAATATGGGACAATCATGTCCGAAAAAAAATATATATATCATTTTCTACATTGCAATTCACCAATAATTTCATAGCCTTTTTATTTCATTTTATTTTATTTTTTTTAGTTAATAATAATAATAATAATAATAATAATAATAATAATTAATTCATCGTATGTGATGCATCCAGCCAAATAACTGAACATAAACCAAAAATATACTTATACTCCACATATAAAAATAAATTGTTTAACATAAACCAAACATATTAAAACTACGCAATTTATTTCTAAGGAACAAATACCAAAATATACTGCACTTATACATTCTCTGTGACGTGAAATATACTCCAAAATCGTGAGTGATTAGTGAAATATACATACTGAACATAAATCAAACAATATAATGTTGAACATAAACCCCAAAAAACTGAACATAAAGATAAAATATATTCAACATAAACCAAAAATATACTTGTACTGCACACATAAAACTAAACTGCTTAACATAAACCAAACATATTAAAAACTACATAATTTATTTCTATGAACAAATACCAAAAATATACTGCACATATACCTCGGAAAATAGTACGGAAAACATGGGTACGTAAAACCATTTATTATTCCTTGATTTTCATTCCATATACATTAGGTACATTTTTTTAGGCAGGTACCCCAAATCGTGCGGAAAATATGGGATTGAGGTCCACCTTAAATGTAACTGATTTTTAGGTTAATATGCATTAAATGTTCTTTATTTAGGTATAGTTACAATTATTTGTTTATGAAAGGTATAATTGTAATATTTTCAATTTCATGTAGGAGACTTAAAAATTTCCCAAAAAAATATATAAAAATTAATGGGATATAGATAAAACTTACCCGGGCTACATCCCAGGTGTCCCAAGTTGTACATCCGCCCCTCTCTGCACAGGAACATAAATTGAGACCCCATAACCTTCAACACACACATTGACAAAGCAAAAAAAAAAAAAAAAAATCAATCGTACACGCACACTTACGAAGGCGTCGTTAGAATTGAAAAGGGGAGTAGGGTCTTAGATTGTCGAACCCTTCCTGCTGCTTTTCTCTCTGTGTTGGGAGCCGTATAGTTTCTGGATCTGAATTTTGTTATGCCAAACTATGCCCTTACCCTTACGTATCTCTTCTATTCATATCTCAGATTGGGAGGAAAACCAGGTGACCATTATCTACAACGCAACAATGTTAAGTATTCAGGACACGACACGTGTCGTTTTTAACAGACCAAAATGCCCTTCAATTTGCTTCTTTTTTACACACGTGCCTTTTGTTTTTTTCGGATTTTTGGGTGTGTGCTTCTCATTCATTTGGTCAAACACGTAAAATTAATTGGTAAATTATGGATGTAAAAAAATGTTAAAAAAGCCCAAAATTAGGGTACACCACTTCTCCATTCCGAAATCTCATATCGTCGCAAATAATTAAGTGGGTCATCGCACTCTTTTTCAAGTGTGTCAAGGCATTTGTGTGATATAATTCATCCAAAAAACATATATATAGAGTACGGGATGTATTATGTAAAGGATAATATTTTTTTTTTTAAAATTGGACATGTGTCCTATTTCTATTGGATAATGAATTTTATATATATTATTATATAAATTAAATTATCATTCGCAATTTATATTAAAAAATAAAAATAAAAATACTAAAATTCATAGTTTTTCATTCTCTACAAATAGAGATCACATTTGATAGTTTTAGAACACAATTAATTTATTTATTGAAAGACGAAGACGCAAAACTATAATAAGATGAAAATGTTACATAGAAAGATGAACATGTTATAAAATAAGTGAATATATTACATATTTACACAATAAGATGAACGTTGTTGTAAGTATTTTTACCGAAGTAGAATCGAAAGATTCAAACACTGGGTCGTATCTCAAGGAAGGTCAGCCGGAATAAATTGCACTATTATTCAAGCACACGAAAAGATAAAACAAGTCCTAAACACTCTAATTCGATAATTTATTTGTTCCAACTAGCAACTAACGATTCACAAACAAAGCAACTCGAAGATTCAATAGCAAACAAATAAACTTGATTATGAAAGAGTTAGGGAGTCGGGGATAATCGTTTTCGGTTCTTGACTCAATTACCGGGCAATTATTTCTTTTTCTCATTTATGTATCCTTTTTTTTGTTAATCCAAAACAATTACTTCAACTTTTTTATTAGTGTATTGTGTTTTTTTTTTTATCCGAAACGAAGAATTTTATAACTAAAAACATAAAAGGGAATACAGAATTGATAGCCCATGGCTAAACAAACAACTACACAAATAGAATGGTTGCAACTTGTAGAATCAAGAAAAAAAACAAAGAAACTGGAGAGCCTACAGAGTTGGTCTAAGAGAGGGGGGAGGGACTAACAACCTGTCTATAGGGCAGTATAGAATACTGAGGTCCTGAGACATGCTATTAGACTAAACAATTAGATCTAGCAATTGAACAAGACCTTGCTAGCTAACAAATAAGCTAAAAATTAAATAGAAGAAACTTCTAGCCAATCAGAGCAGACAATATCAACCAGTGGTTTCTCTGCAATCCAATATTTATTGAATACCCAAATATTTCTCATTTTTTCATAACCACTAGAGGATGTATGTGGTTAGCTAAATTCAATCTTCAGCGACATTGTTTTGTGGATGAAACAGACTTCCTTCCACCAATCTTTGAAGCTGGTAATTTTCTCTTTAAGACCAAACCAAGTGACATGTGCCAGCGTCCAAATTTTCTTGTCCCTTAAGCAGTTGAAGAGAATATGCCTATCATCAAAACTCCAGTAAAGGAGCTTCTTTGGAGATAATGTTCAATCCTCCCATTGTCCGAGCGGAATAAAAGAATACAGTAGTAAGAGTCTATAAACACCTCCTCCACCTCCAACTTTATTACAAACAATATGATTTATAATTATTTTATCAGTAATAACATTTAAATCTAATATTATATTAGTAATAACGCTTTATTGGTGGTTCCCACTCCATCTGTCTTGTTGTTTTGTCTGGTATTCTGAGTCTGGTAACAAGCTATAATTCATGACATAGTTGCATACCCTCTCGAAACATATTGGTTATTGTACACTTCTCCCCATACATGTAGCTTTAGGCACCAAAGCCCAACAAATCTTTAGACAAAATACATAAAAAACAAAATAAACAATTAAGGTAGTATTAAAATAAGGATTAATGAGAATATATAATAGTACATATGCTTTTTATTTTGGTTGACCTATTATAATTAAAATAACAAAATAATAAAGCCACAACAATCTCGAAGCTCTTACTCATATAGAGCGACCATCTAATTTGTGTTTCTAGAAAAAAGATCTTGTCCATCTCCAAGATTAGAAACTAATTTTATTTATTCGGAATTGAAAGTGGGCTATGAAAAATTATCGTCTTCTTCTCTTGCGTCGGCCGAGAAAATCGTCGCCTTTGGTCTTCTTCTCTTGCGCCTCCTTTTCTCCCCCGGCGTTAGTCCGTGATAGTCGGAGAATGTGCTCCACCATTCACCTACGAATCGGTCTCGTCCCTCCTGTTCGGACCTTCGCAGTCGGGTTCTCCTAGGGTTGCAGATCCTCTTTTTGCGTACACTCTTCAGGAGCTCCGACGGGCTTG